ATGTTATTGCTTCTCATCAAGGCAGATTAAAAAATTCTTCTTTTATACCATTTATATAGCTCACCAGGATATCTGATCGTAATATACATTTAATGGATAGTTTTTCTGTGCAGACCCGGTTATAGAGGCAACTATTGGAGCTAATTTGTGTGCAACATTATCCTGCAGACAGAAAATGGAGGGAAATTTTTTTTGGTGGTGATTCAGGGATGAATGTTGTCTTGGACGTAAGGAAAAGTTCCTGCACTTCTTTGAATTTCATACACGCTATAGCAAGTATTTGGAACCTCAGCCAAAAGACATTTCGGACAATTCAGCTTCTTACATCAGATTGTGCTCAGCTAAGGGCTTTGAATCCACAGCACATTGAATTGAGCTGACATTTAAGTTACTTCCTGAGATTCAGGACATTGAGTAATGTTAAGCCTTCAGCATGATTCAGACAACTGTTGCTATATATCATTCAGGAGATTGTGGAAGAGATGTCCATCATGAATCTTCTTTTAATTTTTGATTTGTTCAGTCCAAGAACTGTCAAGTTGAACCCTTGGATTGTTAGTTTTCAAAACTGCCTCAAGCTTTAAGGCTAGCAACAAGCTTTTTTTTTTGATGTTCATACAGCTGACATGATTTGTAATTTGTTTAAGTGGAACAGATATTATAACTGATCAAGTGCATCCTTTTTGGCCCATCTCTTGCAATTTACTCAGACGGGTTGTAAGCGGTTCTGATGCACTTTTCATGTTTGCTATTTTTTCCCACCTTTGCCCAGTCTTGTTTACTGAGCTTATCACCTCAAAATTTGCATTTGACATTTAGAATTATCTGGATTTTCTGCAGGGTTCTTTCAATCACTTCAGCAGAAGATTGTCGGAAACACAGGAGAATTTGCAGAAATAGCAACAAGAATCTACTCATTAAGTCATTCAGTAAATTACTGACTCTTCCTAAGCTGCCCTGTAAACTCAGTCAGCACAAAGCTGTGTCTTAATTAGCAACATAACAACCATTTGGCTTAACGGATCTGTGCTCAACCTGCGACTTCCCTCACTGCACTTCATCAAATCCTATCTGCATAACTTGAAAGGAAACTTTATTTTCTGATTGTACATCTATTGTAGCATTAAACTGATAAGTGTAGTTTTAATGGAGTGTCCTGTAAAACAATTGCTTATTGTTACTGTGGATCGCTTATCAGAAACAGACAATATAATGCTGCAGTAACAGTTGATATGCTGCATGTTCACTCTTGCAATACCCCCCCTTTGGCCATTTTGTACATGATTTGGTGCTGTGCTCATTTACTGGACTCCAAATCTCAATCATTCCTACCTGTACCTCCGCTCTAGAATAATTGGGCATTTCTCTGCGAGAAAAAGACATACATTGCAGATCAGGTATATGGAAAGTCTATAGGTGTAGATTTCCTGCAGCAGAGACCTTTAACCTTACAGTATTTGTTTGAGAGATACTGGGGAAATGTGAATGACTGAAGAATTGAAACAGAGATGGACACTCATGTACTTGTATTTAGTTAGCAAAAGACTTGTGAAAGGACCCCACTGTATGAAAATGTGCATTAGAGAAGAAGGTCATTTTGCCTGAAAAATCAGGGTTCGGTAAAGACAACTTACAATGTGTTAAACTTTACATATTTAATGTACGTGACTATTCAGTTATACATCATTATTGTGACATTACTGCTGTGCTTTCAATTATCAGATTTAGTCGTGGGAGACATTGAAAGGAATTGGAAGCAAAATGTCGATCATGGGCTTAAAGAAGAAACAACCCAAAACCTTCAAAGTTAAGGTTATCACCATGGATGCAGAGATGGAATTTAGCTGTGAGGTAAGAGAGAAAGTTTGTTTTTATCTTGTAAAAAGAAGGAAACTTGAATTTATGTCAGGTTTTATTGTGCCTGTAGTTTGTCTGAATTCTTTGAAGTGTAGCTACTGTTGCTACATAGGCAAATCGAATAACCAGTTTTTGTATAGCTACAGCAAGACCCTATCGAAATGAGCTGTAGCTAAAGAGATGTTGGGAATCGACCAGGATGTCATGAAGGGAATGTGTAATGCTATCGGAGAGGGGAAGATGTGTTTAGTTGTGGCATCCTGCCGGAGGTGATGGAAATGGCAAGTGATGATCTTGTGAATATAGAGGCTGGTGGGATGGGAAATGAGGACAAGGGAATCCTTATTATTGGTCAGGGAGAGAGGGGAAAAAGATGAGGGCAAAAGTGCAGGAAATGGGTTAAACACAGCTGAAATTGTTGACTTGCAAATCTAGGCAAGATTAGGAAGTAGCAACAATGACATCATCAATGTACCAGAGAAAGAACTGTTGTTGGACAGTGCGAGTAAGACTGGAACAAACAATATCCCACACACCCCACAAAAAGACAGACATAGCTGCGTCCCATGTGAGTGCACATAGTCACACCTTTGTCTTCGAGAAAGTTAAAGGAAAAATTGTTTTATGTCAGAGCAGGCTCAGCCAGGCAAAGGAGAATGATGAGGGTGAGGACTATTCAGATCTTCTTTCAAGGAAGAAACATAGAGCTCCTGATTTTGGATGAAGATGTAGAAGGATTGCACATCCATGGTGAAGAGAAGGTGCCTAGGGGCAGGAAACTAGAAATTGTGGAACTGACATAAAGCTTCAGAAGTATCACAAATATAGGTGGAAGGAGGAAAAAATGGAATCAAGATTGAGTGAGGCAGGAACAGGCTGAAATTATGGATCTGCTAGCGCTGTTCAGTTTGTGGACTTTTGGAATAAGGTCTGAAATGGGCTGTGTGGGCTAGGGGTCTGTCTGGTGGAAAGCTGTGGCAGGAAGATCTCCAGAGGAGATGAAGTCAGTAAACATTTTGGAAACAACCTGTGATATTTCTTAAGCACTTTGGTTTTATTTCAGATCTCCAGCATTGAGTACTTTGCTTTTATTGTGTAAACCCTATTCTTTGATTTGCTGTAGGTAACATCACACGGGAACTGACTAGCAATATATTCAAAATCAAAATCCTATGAATACTTTTTAATCTTTTACCATAATATATGCCTAAATCTGTGTATATAATGGAGGATGCTAATGTAATTAACTTTGTAATTATACCCTCCCTTCAATGCAGGCATTTCTTACAGAATGATTTTTTACAAGTTAATGTGGTCAGTTTCTGTTATAAGGATGGATGTAGAAATCTAATGTAAGCATAAAATTAAATACAGATTCCACGGGTGCTCCTTACCTAATATAAAGAGTGCATAGAGTTTCCATTTGACCAGTACAAAATGAACATCAAAAATAACTAACTTAAGACAATTAAGTTCATTTGATTCTTTTCAGGTTTTTAGACAATCTCTGGACTATAATAGTTCTATTTTAAACAGTTGAAAATGCAGGACAATGATTCTAGAATCCATTGTGCCTGTGCCGGTCATGAAGCATCAATCTACTTGAACCCTATTTCTCATTGTATGCAACAGTGTTCATCTAAATACCACTTAACTATTGTAATGGTTCATGCCTGCATCACCCTTTCAGACAGTGAGTTCCAGATACCCACCATACCCAGGTTAAAACATTTTTCTTTAAATCCCCTCAAACCCCCTGTCCTTTCCTTAAATCTGTTCACCTGGTTATTGACCCCACTACCAAGGGGAAAAGCTTCTTCCCACCCAACCGGTCTATGTCCTTCATAATTTTGTAGATTTCAATTGGGGCTCCCCTCAGCCTTCTGTACTCCAAGAAAGGCAACTCTAGCCTTTATAGTCTCTCTTTATAGTTGAAATACTTGCACATCTTTTCAAAACACAATGTTAGTATAATTCTCTCAATATATGTTCTTTTCATCCTGGTTATTTCTGACTTTTCTTTCAGGCAAACCTGTGTAACACAGTTGCAACTGACTGACTGACTCTTTACAATACTGTAACACATCAGTTTGAACCAACTTTGTTACAGATCTGTGTAAACAGAAACCTGGTATAGTGACCTGAACTCTAGTCACCTGTTTTAAATTTCACCAGAGTTGTTATATTTTTGGAAAAGCTTCTACATTAATAAATGAGTGTGTCTAACAAAAATTTAACTAGTTACAAAATTGTTAGCTATTCCCATCACCCAAGCTATATTATCCCTTTCATTTCTGGAAGCAACGAGATTCATGTTGTAAAATTGTTTCACACTGCTTACAGCTTTGTTAATGATTACGGCTTTTAAGCAGTGTGGTCTTCAGGATCACAACTGATCTTGCCTTTATCAAACTTATCAAAATTATTCTTTCTGGGAGAGAAATTAGTTGCTGTCAATTACTGCTTCTAGGCCCGAAACGTCAGCCTCTCTGCTCCTATGATGCTGCTTGGCCTGCTGTGTTCATCCAGCCCTGCACCTTGCTGTCAATTACTGTTGTTTGCTAGTAAATGAATATCTGGTAATGAGTGAGGCATCAGTTCAATTATTGGGTGGTATGGTTAGCTTCTCCTGCTGTCACATGATTTTTTGCACTTATGGACACTGAGGATATTTGAGGCTTTTTTAATGTTAGTTTGTGTGAAATCAAAAAATGTTAATTCTCAATGAGGATTGAATAAGGAACCTTCTCAATTAAAGTCCAGATCCACAGTGGTCAGGACTCTTTGCTACAGAGCAATTGTACTTGCTTTAACCACTTATTTACATAGTGACGTCCAGGACTAGTTCTTCCCGCTAAGAAATGAATGTTTTGTTTTAATTGTCTTATTTTATATTTTGTAGGTGAAATGGAAAGGGAAGGATTTATTTGACTTGGTGTGTCGAACAATTGGATTGCGTGAAACCTGGTTCTTCGGCCTGCGATATATTGTAAAAGATACATATGCTTGGCTAAAAATGGAGAAAAGGGTATTTTAAAAAGCTTTTGTTTTAAAAAATATTAACTACAGAAATCAAGAAAATGTTTATCAAATTTGAAAATGCTCGAAACTTAAAAGTTGCAAGTGAACAATTTTTCAATGAAATCCACAGATTTTTAAAAAATGTTTGATGTTGATTTTAAGAAAAAGAACTATTTTCTTATTTAACAGTGTATTGAGTTTAGTGTGAGTAGTGTTTTTATACTGTTGGATAGGATATTGCTGAAGAAAGACACACTTTTTCGAAGCTTTTCACCTTGCAGTCATCAAGATATTTTGCAAGAATACCAATTCAATAGGAAAACCAACACTTGTATGTCTTTTCACTTGATGACACCATCCTGTTACTGGTGAACATTACTTGTGTTGCTACTGCATATTAGCAGCATGAAACACCTTCACCTATCACTCAAACTTTTGAGATAGCCCCCTTCCAGGGTGTAATCTGAGGTATCCTGGCTACTAATAGAATGCTGCTATCAGGTTAAAAAGACATTCCGTCCGTCATGTCGGGGGGATGGGTCTGGGTGAGATGCTCTGATGGTTGGTGTGGACTTGTTGGGCCGAAGGGCCTGTTTCCACACTGTAGGGATTCTATATAAAAAAAAATCAATGAGTGATGTCGTAAATGAAGTTCCGTGCAGGTGTGATGTAGGCTGTACTTCCCAAAAACTGGCAGATTGTATCAGCATGACCCTTCAGTTACAATAAGCAAGGTACTGACTGTATCTAACCAGTTCCTACTTGCAAAATGAGCAACATAGTATCTAACATTAGATGTGATTTTGCAATTGGACAACATTTATTAGGTATTCCTGAAAGTGTGAGGAATTACACTGACAATCAGTTTAGAATTGACCATCAGGCCAGCACTGTGACTTATTTGTATGCACTGGAAGCTACCTTTATTAATTGTCGGGGCCCTGATCTTTGCAGACAGAAACACATACATACACACTGTGCCTTAGTAAAATAGGTGATAGCCATTCAGTTTCATTTCTTAGGGCAGTAACCTGTTCAATCAGAGTCAATCTGCCTGGTTTAAAATTTAACAATTCCTGTCAGTTAATTGTCAGTTAGCTTTATTTTGCATTCTTCATGGCAACACCTCTATCAAACAGAGCCCACTTGCCAATTGATGAGCACTCACAATTAAAATATTGGCTTGCCTTGAATTTGTATTCTTGTGAAATGTCCTGATGAGTGCAAGACAAAAAGCTTTGAAAATGTGTTTTCTCGACAGTGCTGAAGTTCTAACTACCAAATGACCATTTAGATAGAATATACTTTTTTTATTTTATTAGTTCATTCACAGGATGAGGGCGGTGCTGGCTTGGCCAGCATTATTGCCCATTCCTAATTGCTCAGAGAACAGGTAAGAGTCAACCACATTGCTGTGGGGTTTGGAATCACATGTAGGCCAGACCAAGTAAGCTTGACAGATTCCTTCCCTAAAGGACATTAGTGAAGCAGATGGGTTTTTACAACAATCAGCAATGCATTAGACTCATCATTAGATTCTTAATTTCACAGTTCTTTTTTTCTTGAATTCAAATTTGAACCTCGGTCCCCAGAACATTACCTAGGTCTCTGGATTAATAGTTCAGCAATAATAAAACTAGGCCAATACATTCCCTAAAAGCCAGTTTTACATTCTTAAACTGTTTATTGAAGAGAATAAAAAATGACTTACTGTTTTAAAAACTTCATAATAGCAACTTTGGACAATGCCAGAAAATGTAACAAAAGGGTGGTTGATGAATATTACCTAAAAAGTGAGGTTGTAGGACTTGAATAGATTCCTGTGTTATTTTATGCAAAATGCATAATATCTTGTGTTGTAACCATATGCCAATATGCTGTATGCCTACTTATTGGTGTCCGTAATGGTATTAGTTAGGTGCCATTGATAAAAGCATTGCAAGTTATGAACTTGAATAATAATACATGGTGGTGAGGGGTGTAATCTGTAAGAAAACTAGAAAAAAAAGTTGTAAATACTCATCAGGAACAGGAACATCTGTAATAAGAAGAAGCTAGGGTTAATGTTTCAGGTCTACCTTCTCATGTCAGAACCTAGTTACAAGCTGCCAATTTAGATGGTTATACTTTTAAGATAACTTTTAAAACTGGTTAACTAATCACAATATTTACAATAACTACATCAGTAGTCCAAAGCACAACTTCCCAAAAGCTTTCTTTGTTTGAAATGGAAATGTTGCCAAATTGAATATCAATGTCAAACCCAAATGAAGACCCTGCTCCAGGTCATTTTCTACTGTCACCACTTCACTATTAATGATTTAAATTTTTAAATTTGTTCACCGATTTTAGGCGTTGCTGTGTAGGCCAGCATTTCTTACCCATCACTAATAGCCATGGAGAAGGTGATGGTGAGCTGCCTCCTTAAATGGCTGCAGTTCTTAGGGTGCTGGAACACCCTAAAAAGGAGTATTGGAGTAAACTGTTAATTTTTAGGGGAGAAGGACTTTGTAGATGGGGGAGGTGGGGTGTGTGGAAGAGAGGGAAGCCACAAATGAGAGATAACAGCTTTAAAACTGTCAGCAAAGGAATTTGGATGTAACTGAGAGCCAGAAGGGAAGGGGGGAGAATAGGAGAGCGATAGTGATAGGAAATTCACTGGTTAGGGGAACAGACAGGAGATTCTGTGGTACCGAGGGAGACTCTCGGATGGTATGTTGCCTCCCGGGTGCCAGGGTCAGGGATGTCTCCAATCAAGTCTTCAGGATTCTTAAGGGGGAGGGAGAGCAGCCAGAAGTCGTGGTACACATTGGTACCAATGACATAGCTAGGAAGCGGGATGAGGACCTGAAAAGTGATTATAGGGAGTTAGGATGGAAGCTGAAAGCCAGGACGAGTAGAGTTGTAATCTCACGATTACTACCGGGACCATGGGCTAGTGAGGGTAGAAACAGAGAGAGAGCGCAGTTGAACACATGGCTACAGAGCTGGTGTAGGAGGGAGGGCTTCAGGTTTGTGGATCATTGGGATACCTTCTGGGGAAGGTGGGACTTGTACAGGAGGGATGGGTTGCACCTGAACTAGAGGGGCGCCAATATCCTGGGCGGGAGGTTTGCTAGAGCTCTTCGGGAGGGTTTAAACTAGTTTGGCAGGGGAATGGGAACTGGAGCTACAGATCAGAGGATGGAGTAGCCAGTGTACAGACAGATAAAGCAAGCAGAGAGTCTATGAGGAAGGATAAGCAGTTAATAGGGCAGAGTGGCAGTCAGTGCGACGGATTGAGGTGTGTCTACTTAAATGCAAGAAGTGTCAGGAATAAGGGTGCGAACTTAGAGCATGGATCAGTACTTGGAACTACAATGCTGTGGTCATTATGGAGACTTGGATAACACAGGGGCAGGAATGGTTGTTGGATGTTCCGGGGTATAGATGTTTCAATAGAAATAGGGAGGAGGGTAAAAGAGGTGGGGGAGTGGCATTGCTAATCAGGGATGGTATCACAGCTGCAGAAAGGGAGGTCATGGAGGAGGATTTCTCCACTGAGTCAGTATGGGTGGAAGTCAGAAACAGGAAAGGAACAGTCACTTTATTGGGAGTTTTCTGTAGAGCCCCCAATAGCAACAGAGACACTGAGGAACAGATTGGGAGACAGATTTTGGAAAGGTGCAGAAGTAATAGGGTTGTTGAAATGAGCGACTTCAACTTCCCTAATATAGACTGGAACCTCCTAAGTGCAAATAGTTTGGATGGAGCAGATTTTGTCAGGTGTGTCCAGGAACGATTTCTGACTCAATATGTAGATATGCCGACTAGAGGGGAGGCCATATTGGATTTGGTGCTTGGCAACGAACCAGGTCAGGTGTCAGATCTCTCAGTGGGGGAGCATTTCAGTGATAGTGATCACAACTGTCTGACTTTTACTATAGTCATGGAGAGGGATGGGAGCAGACGGTATGGGAAAGTATTTAATTGGGGGAGGTGGAATTACAATGCTATTAGGCAAGGACAACGGAGCACCAGTTAGGATCAGATGTTCTCAGGGAAATGCACGATAGAAATGTGGAGGTTGTTTAGGGAGCAGTTGCTACAGGTACTAGATAGGTTTGTCCTCCTAAGGCAAGGAAAGGATGGTAAAGTGAAGGAACCTTGGATGCCAAGACATGTTGAACACCTAGTCAAGAGGAAGAAGGAAGCTTACTTAAGGTTGAGGAAACAAGGATCGGACAGAGCTCTAGAGGTCTACAAGGTAGCCAGGAAGGAACTGAAAAATGGACTTAGGAGAGCTTGAAGAGGGTATGAGAAAACCTTGGTGGGTAGGATCAAGGAAAACCCCAAGGCTTTCTATACTTAGGTGAGGAACAAGAGGATGGCCAGAGGGAGGGGAGGGCCACTCAGGGACAGTGGAGGGAACTTGTGTGTGGAGTCAGAGGAGGGAGGGGAGGTCCTTAATGAATACTTTGCTTCGGTATTCACCAGCGAGAGGGACCTTGAAGTTTGTGAGGACAGCATGAAACAGGCAGATATGCTTGAACAGGTTGTTGTTAGGAAGGAGGATGTGCTAGAAATTTTGAAAAACATGAGGATAGATAAGTCCCCTGGGCCAGACGGGATATACCCAAGGTTCCTACGGGAAGCGAGGGAAGAAATTGCTAGTTCTTTGGCAATGATCTTTGCGTCCTCACTGTCAACGGAGTAATGCCAGAAGATTGGAGGGTGGCAAATGTCATTCCCTTGGTCAAGAAAGGGAATAGGGATAATCCTGGAAATTACAGACCAGTCAGTCTTACTTCTGTGGTGGGCAAATTATTGGAGAGGATTCTGAGAGGTAATATTTATGATTATTTGGAAAAGCACAGTTTGATTAGAAATAGTCAGCATGGCTTTGTGAGGGACATGTCATACCTCACAAGCCTTATTGAATTCTTTGAGGATGTGACAAAACACTTCGATTAAGTTAGAGCAGTAGATGTGGTGTATATGGATTTTAGCAAGGCAGTCGATAAGGTTCCACATGGTAGGCTCATTCAGAAAGTAAAGAGGCATGGGATTCAGGGAAATTTGGCTGTCTGGATACAAAACTGGCTGTCCAACAGAAGACACAGGGTGGTAGTAGATGGAAACTATTCAGCCTGGAGCTCAGTGACCATTGGTGTGCCGCATGGATCTGTTCTGGGACCTCTGCTCTTTGTGATCTTTATAAATGACTTGGATGAGGAAGTGGAAGGATAGGTTTGTACACTAAGGTTGGTGGAGTTGTGGACAGCGTGAAGGGCTGTTGTAGATTGCAACGGGACATTAACAGGATGTAGAGCTGGGCAAAGAAGTGGCAGATGGAATTCAACCCAGAAAAGCGTGAAGTGATTCATTTTGGAAGGTCGAATTTGAATGCAGAATACAGGGTTAATGGCAGGATTCTCGGCAGTGTGGAGGAACAGAGGCACCTTGGGGTCCGCGTTCATAGATCCCTCAAAATTGCGACCCAAGTTGATAGCGTTATAAAGAAGGCGTATGGTGTGTTGGGTTTCATTGGCAGGGGAATTTAGTTTAAGAACCGCGAGGTTATGCTGCAGCTCTATAAAACTCTGGTTAGACCACACTTGGAATATTGTGTTCAGTTCTGGTCACCTCATTACAGGAAAGATGTGGAAGCTTTAGAGAGTGTGCAGAGGAGATTTACCAGGATGCTACCTGGACTGGAGGGCAGGTCTTATGAGGAAAGGTTGAGGGAGCTAGGGCTTTTTTCATTGAAGCAAAAAAGGATGAGAGGTGACTTGATAGAGGTTTACAAGATGATGAGAGGCATATATAGACTGGATAGCCAGAGACTTTTTCCCAGGGCAGAAATGACTATTATGAGGAGGCATAATTTTAAGGTGATTGGAGGAAGGTATAGGGGAGATGTCAGAGGTAGGTTCTTCACACAGAGAGTGGTGGGCGTGTGGAATGCGCTGCTGACAGTGATGGTGGAGTCAGATACTTTAGAGACTTTTAAACGACTCTTGGATAGGCACATGGAGGATAGTAAAATGTAGAGTATGCAGGGTAGATTGATCTTAGTAGGATAATAGATCAGCACAACATCGTGGGCCGAAGGGCCTGTACTGTGCTGTACTGTTCTATGTTCTATGTCCTATTTCTAAATTTATTCCCCATTTAGAAAATAGCCTAGGCCTCTATTCTTCCTATCAAAGTGCATGACCTCACACTTTACCGCGTTGTATTCCATCTGTCACTTCTTTGCCCACCCTTCTAACCTGGCTAAATTCTTGTGCAGCCTCCCCGCCTCCTCAATACTACCCGTTCCTCCACCTTTCTCGTGTGCAAACTTAGCCAGAATGCCCTCAGTTCCTAGATCATCAATGTATAAAGTGAAAGGTTGTGGACCCAACACTGACCCTTGTCGAACATTACTGGTCACCGGCTGCCATCCTGAGAAGGATCCTTTTATTCCTACACTCTGCTTTCTGCCAGACAGCCAGTCTTCTATCCATGCTAGTACCTTGCCTCTAACACCACGGGCCCTTCTACTTACCCTGCAGCCTCCTGTGTGGCACCTTTTCAAAGGCCTTCTGGAAGTCCAGGTAGATAACATCTATTGGCTCTCCTTGGTCTAACTTGCTCATTACCTCCTCAAAGAATTCTAACAGATTTGTCAGGCATGATCTCCCCTTGATGAAACCATGCTGACTTTGCCCTTTTGTGCCGGGCACTTCCAAGTATTCAGAAATCTCATCTTTCACAATGGACTCCAAAATCTTACACACAACCGAGGTCAGGCTAATCAGCCTGTAATTATCTGGCTAAAATGATCTAGCTTTGTGCATATATGGAAATATATTAGTTGTGATCATACCATTCTATGGAAAGTGTGTTTAGGGTGGTGGTTTTGTTCATAAAAGTGTGTCTCAGTTGTTTTTCTTAACTCTTGTTAGCTTATAAAAACAAAAACTGCGGTTGCTGTAAAACACAAACGTTAGCTAATGCCTGCTGTCTTGTACCAATTTAGACACTGTGGAAATTAATGCTTTCTTTGTGCTTTAAATTTCATTGAGTTTTGGTAATTATTGAAGATATTGATGAATTCTTCTAATTTTGCTTCTGTATGATTCCAATACCCAGTAAGTCAACACAAAAACCGGAAGAGATAACAAGTTGTAGAGCTGGATGAACAC